CGTCTGGGACCGCTTGGGGGCGCCTGGGAGCGCTTGGGGGCGCCTGGGAGCGTGGGAGCGCTTGGGAGCGCTTGGGAGCGCTTGGGAGCGCTTGGGAGCGCCTGGGAGCGCCATGCCAGAGGCCAGGCCCGCTCGCGACACCCCTGCCCGCTCAGCCCGGCCAAACAAGCATGGGAGCGCCGGGGAGCGCTTGGGAGCGGCTCAGAGCACATGGGATCACGGGGGCGACCCGGCAGACCGAAATCACGGCGGGACGGAGGCAGCGCCGGGAGCGCGCTTGGGAGCGCCTGCGCGATCTGGCCGACCGAAATCACGGGAGCGACCCGGCAAACCGAAATCACGGCGGGACGGAGGCAGCGCCGGGAGCGCCTGGGAGCGCCTGGGAGCGCCTGGGAGCGCTTGGGAGCGCTGGGAGCGCTTGGGGGCGCCTGGGAGCGCCTGGGAGCGCCGGGGAACGCTGTGCAGCGCCTGGGAGCGCGCCTGGGAGCGCCTGGGAGCGCTTGGGAGCGCCTGGGCGAAGTGTGTCGGCCGCCCTCCCAGGAGCCCCTCCAGAAGCCCCCGGGAGCCCCCCAAGAGCCCCCCAGGGCACCGCCAGGGCGCGCGCCACGGTGAATCGCGCCCGCAGCCTTCAGGAGCCCTCCCAGGAGCTCCCCCCGAGGCCCTCCAGGACCCCCCCAGGAGCTCTCCAGGAGCACCCCAGGAGCTCCCCAGGAGCCCCCGAGGGCCCCGCCCAGGGCGCGCGCCACGGTGAATTAGCTCCCGCCCGAGGCCCCCAGGAGCTTCCCCAGGAGCTCACCAGGAGCCCACCAGGAGCCACCCAGGAGCCACCCAGGGCTCCCCCAGGGCGCGCGCCACTGTGAATTAGCTTCCGCCCGAGGCCCTCCAGGAGCCCCGGAGCGCCTGGGACCGCCTGGGAGCGCCAGGCCAGGCCAGGCGCCAGGCCAGGCCAGGCCCGCTCGTGACACCCCTACCCGCTCAGCCCGGGGTGAGCGCTGGGCAGGGCCTGGGAGCGCCTGGGAGCGCTTGGGAGCGCCTGGGAGCGCCTGGGAGCGCCTTGGAGCGCTGCTGGAACGCTTGGGAGCGCCTGGGGACGCTTCTGGAGCGCATGGGAGCGCTTGGGAACGCTTGGGAGCGCCTGGGAGCGCCTGGGATCGCCTGGGAGCGCCTGGGAGCGCCTGGGAGCGCCTCGGAGTGCTTCTGGGAGCGCCTGGGAGCGCCTGGGAGCGCCTGGGAGCGCTTGCGAGCGCGTGGAAACGCTTGGGAGCGCCCGGGATCGCCTGGGAGCAGACCGCCGGCGCGCCTAAGTACGGAGCGCGTGTGTCGCCGAAGGTGTTTTGCGTGCGCGCGCTCTGTCGTGGCAGTTTTTGCGGGTCGACCCCGCGCGACGGGCAGCTCCCGCGCAAACCCGTTTGCGCAGCACCGGCCCGCCCGAGGCAACACCGACAACAGCAAGGGGCGGGGGTCGCAAACTCATCTCTGGGCCGCCTGGAGCCCGAAACCCAAGGGAATAGGACAACGCGGGTGGTCTAGGAAGCTCTTACAGGCTGGGGAGCACCCGGGAAGGCTCAGTGGAGGTGCTTGCGAGAAGAAGCCTACCAGGAGCACCCCAGCCCCCAGGAGCTCCCCAGGAGCTCTCCAGAGCTCCCCAGGAGCCTTCAGCGCGCCTGGGGCGCGCCTGGGAGCGCCTGGGAGCGCCTTGGAGCGCTGCTGGAACGCTTGGGAGCGCCTGGGGACGCTTCTGGAGCGCATGGGAGCGCTTGGGGACGCTTGGGAGCGCCTGGGAGCGCCTGGGATCGCCTGGGAGCGCCTGGGAGCGCCTCGGAGCGCTTCTGGAGCGCCTGGGAGCGCCTGGGAGCGCCTGGGAGCGCCTGGGAGCGTTTGCGAGCGCGTGGAAACGCTTGGGAGCGCCTGGGATCGCCTGGGAGCAGACCGCCGGCGCGCCTAAGTACGGAGCGCGTGTGTCGCCGAAGGTGTTTTGCGTGCGCGCGCTCTGTCGTGGCAGTTTTCGCGGGTCGACCCCGCGCGACGGGTAGCTCCCGCGCAAACCCGTTTGCGCAGCACCGGCCCGTCCGAGGCAACACCGACAACAGCAAGGGGCGGGGGTCGCAAACTCATCTCTGGGCCGCCTGGAGCCCGAAACCCAAGGGAATAGGACAACGCGGGTGGTCTTGGAAGCTCTTACAGGCTGGGGAGCACCCGGGAAGGCTGCAGAAGCTTCCCAGGAGCACCCCAGCCCCCAGGAGATTTCCAGGAGCTCTCCGAGAGCTCTCTTGAGCTCCTCCTTCAGCGCGCCTGGGGATCGCTTGGGAGCGCCTGGGAACGCTTGGGAGCGCCCAGGAGCGCCTGGGAGCGCCTGGGTGCGCTTGGGAGGAGCTTCGGGAGCGCCTAGGCGCGCTTCTGGAACGCCCGGGAGCGCTTGGGAGCCCCTGGGAGCGCTTAGGGGCGCTCCTGGAGCGCGTGGGAACGCTTAAGGGCGCCTGGGAGCGCCTGGGAGCGCCTGGGAGCGCCTGGCCAGAGGCCAGAGGCCGCTCGTGACACCCCTACCCGCTCAGCCCGGCCAAACAAGCATGGAAGCGCTGGGGAGCGCTGGGCAGCGCCTGGGAGCGCCTGGGAGCGCCTGGGAGCGCTGGAAGCGTCTGGAAGCAGCTGGGAGCGCCTGGGAGCCTCGGAGCGCCTGGGCACAATGAGATGCGAGAGCGCACCAGAGAAGTCCGTTGAGCAAAATGAGATGCGAGGGGGCGCCAGACCCGCCCCCTCGCGCTCCCCCACCCGCCAAATCTTCGAGGGTGCCATGTGCGAGCTCCAGCCAGGACTTTCCCAAGCCACAAGCAGACCCAGATTGGCCCCATAATATGCTGCTCCACATCCGATGCCCCCTGTCGCTGCTCCTGCGCCCTCCTTTCCCGCCGTGGCCATCTGGCTCGAAGCGAAACTCTGCCAGCGCCTCGCGCTAGCTGCCTTGCTACCAGACCAGCACGCCTCGCACCGAGCAGCCTCGCAGTTCTCAGTTCTGCCATGGCGCCCAAGAGCAAGCGCCAGAATTCGGGCGGCAGCAGGAAGAAGGAGGACCCGAACAAGCTCCACAATGTGCCCCTCTGGAAGATGGTGGGGAAGGCCAGCCTGCGCTCCTGGCCAGACGAGAATGGGAATGCGGTGCTCTCGGACCATGAGCCGCCGCACCAGTACTTCACGCTGGACAAGGCTCGCGAGATCGTGACCGACGAGTCGTCGCAGCTCGTGAAGGTGCCTGCCGCGGGTTTCATGAACGCGATCTCCGGTCTCGTCGCTGGGCAAGAAGTGCTCCAATGCGTATCCTCGGAGAAACCGAAGTGCGACGAGCTCGCGAAGCTGAAGCTGTGGGAGGCGCGGAAGCTACTCTGCGACAAGGATGTCCTCAAGGCGGTGGACGCGCTGCACTTGCCGTTCGAGAAGTTCGAGAACAAGCGCAGCGCAGAGAAGGCCGCCAAGGTCGTCATCGAGCACTTCGGGAGCAAGGACAAGGCATCAGAGCGCCTGGCTGTCCTTGGTCGTCTCGCCGATGAAGGCGCCCGCTTGTACATGGCAGCGATGACTGGGATCGAGCTCATTGCGCTCGCCACGTCTGTGAAGGAGTGGTCCAAGAAGATCCCAGAGCAGGAGAAGCAGCCCGCGAGCATCCGCAAGTTCATCAAGAGCCAGAAGATGGACGACCTGGTCGCCGCGCTGGCCAACGGCGTCGCCGCGGCCGCGGAGAAGACGGTGCGGAAGAAGCGCTACGCTTTCGGAGAGGACCTAGAGAGGGCCGAGAAGTCGACCAGCGGGAGCTCCTCGAATAGCACCGACGCCGACGGCGACTCCAGCGACAGCATCAATTCGAAGGATAAGAAGAAGAAGAAAAGGAAGGACAAGAAGCGCGACAAGTCCTCCAGCCGAGGCCGCAGCCGCAGCAGGTCCAAGGACAAGAAGGACAAGAAGGACAAGAAGGACAAGACGAAGCGCGAGAAGTCGTACGACAGTGACCAGAAGAAGCACAAGGACAAGAGGAAGCGCAATCGGAGTCGCTCTCGCGACGGCAAGAAGGAGAAGAAGCGCGGACGCAGCCGCGAGAAGAGCGTGGACCTCTTCGCGGACGAGGGCGGGTCCCAGGAAGAGCTCGCGCCCGCGGAGAAATCCTGGTCGACGTGGGACGAAGCCGACATCCAGACCTTGAAGAACCGCGTCATCCAGTGCGACGGCAAGCCCGACCTCGAGGAACTCAAGCGGATCGCGCAGTCGCTGCCCGAGGATGTGGCCGAGGCGGCTGGCCTCACGTCGACGTGCGCGTCCGTGTCGAAGCTGGTCAGGATGGCTCGCAAAGAGACGGTGAATATTTTCTTGGGCAAGATCAAGCAGCTGACGGACGACGCCCTGGCGTGGAAGGACGCGAAGAAGATCGCAGAAGAGCCCGAGGACGTCGACAGCGAGAAGGTGACGGGCGAGGCGGGCCGCGCTCTCCCAGCTGCTGCGGCGAAGAGCGCGGCTTCGGGAGGAGCAGCCGCTTCTGCGCCTGAGGACAAGAAGTGAGGCGTGCCCCAGCGGAGCCGAGGCGCTAGCTGCGCGCTCGGCTTGAACGCCACCGTCGGACATGGGCCTGGGGGGACAGTCCAGGCAACTGGCTGGTGGCGGCGGATGCAGAGAATGTATCATGGCATTGTGATGCCGAGTGACAAAACAATGTTTCGTCAGGTTGCGACAATCTCACGGACCTTTCCCGCGGGATTTCACAGACCCCCTCAGTGCCACTTTGTATCTTAGAATCTCCAGAACGTGTTCAGAATATTCCTCGGAAGCGCACGCGCTACCCCTGCTCCATGTCTCACCTTCTGTCGCTGTCACTGCTGCAATTGCTCCAACGATCATGTTGTCCCTTCCAATTCTCTGAACTCTCAAGGAAGACCCCAGGAGAGCGCAGGAGCAAAATGATATGCGAGGGGGCGCCAGACCCGCCCCCTCGCGCTCCCCCACCCGCCAAATATCCGAGGATGCCGTGTGTGAGCTCCAGCCATGATTTTCCCAAGCCGCAGGCATGCCCAGATTGGCTCCAGAGTATAATGCTCGAGATGCCCCCTGCCGCTGCTCTTGCCCCATGCTTTCCCGCCGTCGCCATCTGGCTCGAAGCAAAACTCTGCCAGCGCCTCGCGCTGCCTTGCTACCAGACCAGCACGCCCCGCACCGAGCAGCCGCTACCGAGCTTGCAGACCATGCCGCCCAAGTTCCGACAGGTTGACGTGCTCGCTGCGCTCCGCCGCGGGGAAGCAGAGGAAGCCATTCGCGCCGACCTCCAGGCCCGCGGATGCCCGCCGCCGCGCATCTCCCAGATGTTCAAGGGCGCGCGCGACATCATGAAGGCGGATGTCGATGCTGAGTATGTGGAGGCGGAGCACATGGCGCCGCCCGTGAGGAAGCGGCCAGCCAGCGCCGCGCCGATGGCAGCGGCGGCGGCGCGGCGCCGCCTGAGCGGGAAGCAGCCCGGCGCGGCTGTCGCGCCGCCCCCGCCGCCGCCCACGCAGACGCAGAAACGCCCAGCGTCTCAGCCTGGCGCCAGGGCGCCCAAGCACCCGAAGGTCGAGAATGACGCGGAGGTCGACGACGCCGTGGCGGCGGGCCCCGTGGTGAAGAAGCCGGCAGGGCCTCGCGGCTCGTCTCAGTTCTGCATCGGCTGGAAGCAGCCGCAGGAGGGCTCCGACGAGGTCATCCAGCAGGATTGCATCTTCTCCACCTCTACTCCTGGCGCCCAGGTACGGCGTGGGCGCGGCGGGAAGAAACGCTGCGTCTGCTGCGACGTCGACGCGCTGCCAGACAGGGTTGCGGAGAACAACGTCAAGGGCCGGGCGAAGGCCATGCGCTACCTGAGGGCGCTGCACCAGTTCGAGGACAAGACCCCATACGACCTCTTCAAGGCGAGGGTGGAGAAGGCCGGATTCGTGATCCCCGAGGAGCGCGTCAGGCAGCCGAAGCGCGGCCGCAAGCCCGCCGAGAAGAAGGTGGCGGACTGGGCCGAGGCCAAGGCGAAGCGGCAGACCACCCAGGAGCCGCCCGACCGCAAGCAGAAGCGCAAGTTCCGCCAGAAGGTGCTCGAGGACCAGCGGTACGCGAAGAACCTGGTCTTTCCGAGGTCGGAGAGGCGGGCACGTGCATCGGGGGCAGAGCTGGACGCGCCCGTGGAAAACGGCACTGGGCTGCCGCCTGCGGAGTACTCCGACTACTCCAAGGCCTTGGAGGCCTGGTGCCTCCGCGGCTCCTGGGGCATGTGCCCCAAGTGCCAGGCGATGCAGCCGCGCGAGTTCTACGAGGCGGACCTCAGGCGCGAGCGCAAGCCCGAGCTGGCGAAGTGGCAGTGCAAGCTCTGCAACGCGAAGCGCAAGCACTACGTCCCGAAGCCCGAGGACGTCCCGAAGCCGCTGCAGGACCTCACGCACGAGATCATCAGTGCGCTGAGCCTGTTGGACGTGGACGTCGGCGACGAGGTCCGCTCCCGCGACGCCAATGGGCAGCCGAATGGCTATCGGAAGAAGGTCAAGATGATCCGATTCTCCTGGAGCGAGAAGTCGCCCAAGAAGAAGTTGCGCAAGCTGCCGCACGCAGACAAGGAGAAGGCAAAGGCTGCGTACAAGCATCTCCTGGAGTGCGAGGAGAGCTCGTACAAGGACTTCCACAAGGAGCGCGAGGACTTCTTCAACGGAAAGCGCGACAAGCCCGACGAGCGCCAGCGCCTGCGCCCGCTCCATTTCATCGAGAAGGACGGGCTCGAGTGTGCGATCTGGCCGCACTTGTACTGGACGACGAAGATGTGCGAGTCACACGAGCGCTATACAGACCAGCGGCGAGCAGAGCGGCGCGCTCGCAAGAATCGGCGCGGCGCGGCTGCAGACTCCGACGACGACTCGGACAGCAGCGGCCACGGAGCAGACCACCAGGAGGACGTGCAGAGCGATGGCTCTGGGCGCGCGCAGAGCTGCTTCCAGCGGTCAGACGAATCGGACAGCGACAAGAACCACGACTCCGACAATGACGGCTCGGACAGGGGTGGCGACCGGACCGCAGGCGAGGGCGACGAGGAGACCGACGACGACAACGCGGAGGGCGAGAGCACGGGCAACCACAGCATCAGGAGGAGCTTCATGGCGAAGGTGCTGTCCCCACTCATCGGCTACGGCGACTGCTTCGAGCTCCTGCAGTTCGTCTATGACCTCAGCCTGTGGAGCACCCTCGGCGGCCGCAAGAACTTGGGCCTCGGCGATGCAGTGCCTATGCGAGTGCTGATGAAGGGCAACTCGTTCAGCCCGATCTATTGGAGGGAGGTCCACAACGGACTTATCGATCTCGTGCGCCAGGTCGGCATGCCGAAGATGTTCTGGACCATCTCGCCGTACGAGTACCTCACCCCGTACCACGAGTGGATGCAGGACGAGATGGCCAAGAGCCTCCGCAGTCGCATGCACCTGCCAGCGGCGGAGAGCCTCCACATGGCCCACGCGCTGCTGGAGATCACGCACGGTCTCCTCACTGGCGTCAACCGCGTGGGGATCTCGAAGAAAGGCGGCGGAGGAGCATGGAAGAAACACATCCTCAGCAACAAGGACGACGCCAGCAAGCCCATCAAACTGATCGTCTTCACGCGCCTGGAATTCCAGGATGGCAGCCGCAAGGAGGGTACGTTTCGGTACCAGGGAAGCGGCCGTCCGCACGCGCACGTCTTGATCTTCGCCGACGAGCTGGAGCCCGCCAAGGTTGAGCAGTTCGTAAAGGCGAGCCTGCCCCTGCAGGAGAACCTGGCGCTCAGGGGTAAAGTGCTATGCTCGCAGAAGGATCGGAGCGACGACTCGAAGTGGCCCATCTACGATGGCCCCGAGGGCTGGAGCGACGAGACCAGCACCCTGAAGCTGAAGCACTTCGAAGATGACGAGGACGCGGGCGTCCATCGCGCCTACTTCACCGATATCATGGATGGCTTCCCGTGCCACCAGGATCTGCAGGTCTCGGACGGGGAGTCGCTCCTGCTGCAGTATGTTACGAAGTACGCGGCGAAGTTCTCGGACGCCGCCTTCGACGACTGGTTCAACGACGAAGGCTCCGCCACCTCGGTGGCGCGGCGCATGGTGAATGAGCACCATCCATACGAGCCTGAGATGTGGCTACAGCTCAACGGCGCCAATTTCAAGCAGTGGCGCGTGTCCACGGCCAGCAAGGGCAAGCGCGACGTACGAGCTCCCTGGCCAGGGATGGAGACGGCGCCTGCGTTCGTGGACCAGTACGCCAAGGCCAGCAGGACGTGGCGCCGCGCCGACATGCCGCTGCTCGAGTACCTCAGGAAGACCAGCGACGAGGGCCAGATCGCACACTGGATTGCAAAGCCCTGGCGCGGGCAAGTGCTGCGCGATGCCCACGCGGCGTGCGCCGAAGAGGGGGGCCAGCTGCCGCTCGAGAAGTTCCGCATCGGCGCCACGGTCAAAAACTTCAACCACTATCGTGCAGACCGCGCCCGCCACGCTGCCCACCAGGCGCACGTGCACGCGGGCGGCTCGCTCTCGCTCGACAAGTTCCTCGACGAAATCTCCGAGGGGAAACACCAGGGGTTACTCGCCAAGGCGACAGACGACGTGGACTTTCGCGACTTCGCCAGAGAGCACGCCGAGAAGAAGCTGCGCGAGACCGCCGCCGCAGACGCCGAGATCCCTGTGCTGCCGACGCCGCCGCTCGGCAACTTCGCTGGCGACTTCCCGATGCGCGGGGAAAAGATCGTGGCCGTCGACCACGTCTACCGCCTGAACGACAAGTTCTTCGGCCAGTGGCTGGCGCTCAACGTGCCCTTCCTGGAGAGCATGGACGAGCTCCTGGATGGTGAGGTCGACCGCCTGCTGCCGAAGAAATATCGCTGGTTCGCCACCGCCCTCCGTCGCTGCGATGACCACGACCGCGTGCCGATCGAGCTCCGCGACTTCTGGCGACGCCCCGACCGCATCCGCACCGAAATGAAGGAGGAGGCGCACACCGACGACCACATCGAGGACGTCCAAGCCATGGTCCAGGGGCAGATAACCATCGTCCAGGAATATCTGTCGGGCGTGCGCGACCGCGCCGCGGAGGAGCACGAGCTGCTGTCTGCCGCGGACGGTGGCGACCCGCAGCAAGCACGCGCCGCAGCGCCCATGGAGTTCAACGCGCAGCAGAAGAAGGTCGAGAAGTTCGTGAACAGGGCCGTCGACTGCGCCGTCGTCGCCAACCACTCCGAGAACGCTCGGGAGGCCGACGCAGCGGGCGACGAGGCCTGGCAGGAGAACAAGCCGATCATCGTTCTGGGCAAGCCGGGCACGGGCAAAACCACGGTCGTCAAGGAGTGCATCCGCCGTGCGAGCTCCAAAGGCGCCAACATCCTCTTCGCCTTGCCGACGGCGCAGCTCGCCAGCCGCATGCGAGAAGCACTGCGCGGCGTCGACAACGTCTGCGTCGACACCTGCCACGCCGCGTTCCGGTTCGGCCAGCCGACCTCCGAGACGCTCGCCCTCATGACCTCCTACGACATGGTCGTGGTCGACGAGATCTCCCTCCTGGACCTGCCCCACTTCCAGTCGCTGATGAAGATGTGGCACTTGGGCGCCAAGAGGATTCCGGCGCTCATCATCCTCGGAGACAAGCAGCAGCTGCCGGCCATCGACGCTGTGAAGAACGGGCGCCCATGGGAGAGCACCGCCTGGGCGAGCTGCACGATTGTGACGCTCCACCAGGCCTGGCGCTGCAAAGACCCCGCCTTCCTCAAGATCCTCGACACGCTCCGCGTGGACAAGCCCAGCGCCAAGATGCTCCGGAGCATGTGCCGCGGCCACAAGGCCTGGTCCTCCGACGACCCCGACAAGGACGACGTCGTCCGGCACCTGAACGAGCACGAGAAGACCGTGATCGTCACCTGCACACGCCACAAGGCGGAGGCCATCAACAAGCTCGCGGTGGAGGGCCTCTTCGCTGGCCGCAGACCGATCGCCACGCTCGAAGGCGAAATCGACATCAACCCGGCGAACTACGACGAGGGGGGCTTCCGAGAGGACCGCAAGCCCGTCCCCGCGCAGGTGCCGATCTACATCGGGGCGCGGCTCTACCTCGCGCAGAACGTCAGGAAAGACGACGACTACGTGAACGGAATGGCGTGCACCGTCCTGGGCTACACGCCGAACGGCCGCGGCGGCGTGCTCAAGGTGCGCACCAAGACGGGCCACCTCCTGCCGATCACGATGTGGACCAACACCAAGGTCAAGGGCCACAGCGTGCGCCACTTCCCGATTCGCCTCGGCTACGCCAGCACAATCCACAAGGCGGGGCGGACGAGGAAGAGGCCTCGCTCCTGGCGAGCCGTGGCTACTTTCTGCATCCCGAACACAGCAGCGCAACACGCGCGTTGTGCTCGAGGTGCCTGGCGGCTGCGTGCTCGGCCAGGGAGCGAGCGTCCACTTCCTCCTTGGCCCGATAAGGTTCAGGGCGACGAGTTCGCGCACATCACCGTCGTGCTCGACAAGAAGTTCTGCCCTGCGGCGGGCTACACGGCACTCTCGCGCGTGCAGCGGGGCTCCGACTACTCGCTCGCTGGCAAGCTCACGCCCGAGCACTTCATCCCTGCCACGTGGTTGGACCCCGCGTGAGCGGCCGTGGCCGATGGAGCGCCGCGTAGCTCACTCACATGGCGCCGCCGACGGTACAGGTCGGTAGCGCGCTGCCTTGCGTGCCGCTTGAACGTTGGGAGGCCCGCGGAGCGCTCGATCGTCAAGGGATCTGCAGTGCGGCTGCTGCGTCGGGCATTCCCTCTCGCCGATGTTCCCAGCCCCTTCCTCGGAAATTCAATGTGACAACCAAGAGATCACCCTGCGAGCAAGATGCGGCCCCGAAAAAGAGAAAGTAACTCCCCCCATGCGAAGGGGGGGCGAAGGGGGGTAGAGTGACAGATGCGAGACGCCCGAAGATGATCGCCGCAAGAAAAGACCTTCCCCCCATGAGAAGGGGGGAGCGAGGGGGGTAGAACAACCCTAAACCCTAAAGGGGTACTTTTGGGTGGGGGGTGGGAACGGGAACGAATAGCAGCCGACCCCCCCAACCTCTTGAAGGAGGGGGGGTCGAGCTGCTTCCGCCCAGCGAGGCCCTAAACCCTAAACCCTAAACCCTAAACCCTAAACCCTAAACCCTAAATTCCCAAGCACCTCGTTGTGCTTCTGCCGACCCCACCGCGCATCACCGTCGCCGTCTACGAGAGACAGGGCATCTCTGAGATGCTTGAGCATGTAGCCCGAGTGTTTGTGGCAGCTTTTGCTGCTGCCCTCCCCCTCTTTTGGGGATTCGCGCTTCAACGATAAACCCTCCCCTGATCCTCAACGAATATAACACCCTAAACCCAAAGACCTTTTCTTCTGAGTGACGCCTGGGACGCCTGGAGCGCCTGGGAGCGCCTGGGAGCGCCTGGGAGCGCCTTGGAACGCCTGGAAGCGCCTGGGAGCGTCTGGGAGCGCCTGGGAGCGCCTGGGAGCGTCTGGGAGCGCCTGGGAGCGCCTGGGAGCGCCTCGGAGCGCCTGGAAGCGTGCCGGGAGCGCCTGGGAACGCTTGGGAGCGCCAGGGAGCGCCTGGAAGCGTCTGGGAGCGCTTGGGAGCGCCTGGGAACGCGCCGGGAGCGCCTGGGAGCGCTTGGGAGCGCCTAGGAGCGCTTGGGAGCGCCTGGGAGCGCCTGGGAGCGCTTGGGATTGCCAGGGGGCGCCTGGGAGCGCCTGGGAGCGCTTCGGAACGCGCCGGGAGCGCCTGGGAGCGCCGGGGAGCGCCTGGGAGCGCCTGAGAGCGCTTGGGAGCGCCTGGGAGCGCCTGGGAGCGCCAGGGAGCGCCAGGGAGCGCCTGGGAGCGCTTGGAAGGCACTTGGGAATTTAGGGGCCAACGGCCCTAAACCCTAAAAGGCTTTAGTTTGGGAGGTTGCCGGCCATGCGGCCGGGGGTGGGAAGATGTTGCACCTCCTGCCCCCTTCGCCAAGCTTGCTCGGGTCGGCTAACCGCCCCCCCAATCAAGCTTGCCGAAGGGGGGGCAGCATTGCCTGGACTGTCGGCCGCTGCGCTAAGAGAAGCCCTAAACCCTAAACCCTAAACCCTAAACCCTAAACTGCAAGCCACGGGCGGTGCATCGTCAGAAGCCCGTGGCGCCTGGCCGAGCGATCAGCGAGTCCGCCCATGCGCGCACGCCGCACCGACGAAGCGCGTAGCGCTGAGGAGGATGCGCTCCCCCGCGGGGATGCCTCGTGAGTTCTGAGAGATGAATAGAACCCTTAACCCAAAACCCAGCCAGTGGGTGCCCTGCGATTGGTCCCATCCCGTGGGGCTCGAAACCTATGAAAATACAGCATGCGGCGCCCTTTCGGCCGTCCGTGGGGCCGCAAACCATATGAAAATACAGTATGCGGCGTTCTGGCGGCTGGCGCACGTCCCAGGCGCTCCCAAGCGCTCCCAGGCGCTCCCAGGCGCTCCCAGGCGCTCCCAAGCGCTTCCGGGCGCTCCCCAGCGCTCCCAAGCGTTCCCCGGCGCTCCCCAGCGCTCCCAAGCGTTCCCCGGCGCTCCCAAGCGGTCCCCGGGGCTTTCGGCACGCCCCCAAGCGTTTCCAAGCGCTCCCAGGCGCATGGCGCTCCCAGGCGCTCTCAGGCGCTCCCGGCACGCTCCCAAGCGCTCCCAGGCGCTCCCTGGCGCTCCCAAGCGCTTCCAGGTAGGTCCCATCCCCTGGGGACTGTCTCACACGTGAAAACACGCCTACGGCGGCCTCTCTGGCTGTGCTGGGAAGCGTAACGCACGTGGACATGCGCCTACGGCGGCCCCTTGGGCTTTCTTGGTGTGCCATGCAGAGCGTTATGCCTGCGGCGGCTTCTTCGGCTCTGCTTTGGTGCCTTGCTGGTGCATCTAGCAGAAAACCGCGACGCGAAAAAAAAAAGCGACGCAGATGCGCCGAACGGCTCCGCGGACCCAAGTGATTCGCCCAAGACCTCGTAGAGCAAGCCCCGAGGAGTTCCAGAGGCCCGTTTTTCAAGTCCCACGGGGATTCACGGGGGGGGGCGCGAGGGGCACGCGCCCGGCGCCCTCTCGCACTGCGCAGTCCGCCGCGAAGGGCATCACACGACGCCTTCCGTGGCCATGTGCGAGGGGGCGCCAGACCCGCCCCCTCGCGCTCCCCCTCCCGCCGTTTCGAAACTCAGGGGTGTCGAGAACGTCAGACAATCTCTACGTATGCCCTTCCTTCTGATTTCCTTCCCTTCCCCGACGTGGCACTGACAGACCATCATTTTCCTAGCAGGAATGCGCACGTTCGTGCCTTTGCACGCGACAGCGGGGCAGGCGCACCGCGTGGGTACTGCGAGAGGCGAGCGGTCGCGCGCCAGCCAACGCGCGGACACCGGAGGCAATCTCAGAACGCGGGTATGAAGTTGTCGCGCTCCACGTACCCGCCGATCAGGTAGTCGTCCGACGTCGCGACACGGCTGAGCGCCGCGTACCCCGCTGCCGGTCGAGGCCACCCGTCCAGGTATATGGTGATGTGGGGGAATTCGTCGCCCTGCACCTTGTCAATGGTGCTGGCGTGCCCGAGGCGTATTGGAAAGTAGACCGCGTTGCCCTTCTCGCGATCGGTCCAGCGAGTGATGGCCAGAAGGTGGCCCGTCTTCGTCATCACGCGCAGCATGTCCTCCTCGGCGTGGTAGTTCTCCACCTCGCAAAGCATGCCGTTGACCTCGTCAGCCTCCTTGTTCTTGTTCTTCGTCAGGTACAATTGCATTCCCTTGTAAATCGGTACTCTGCTTGGGACCAGACGGCGATCAGTGCGAAGCTTCCCATCCACGTAGTTCTCGGGGTTGAGTTCCACGTCGCCGTCCAGCGTGGCCAGCGGGGTCTTGCGGCCGTACAGCGCAGCGACTGCCGCCTCGTTCACGGCCGCAGCGCCCCTGCGCGTGCAGGTGACGATCCGCGTGTCTGGGTGCTTCTCGAAGAGCTTCTTCATTTCGGCGGGCGTGGGGTCGCCTCTGCTCTTCCACGCCTTGTGGTCGCGCACGATCTTGCGGAATGTCTCCTTGGAGGGCTTGTCTGTCCGAAGCTCGTCCAGGATCTCCTGGAAGCGTTCCTCCTTGCACCGCCAGGTCTCGGTTAGCTTCACGTGGAAGCAGCGCGGCCGCTTCCATGCGGCACTCTCCCAAGGACGTGTCGGCTCCACCCCAGGGAGCTGGTGCTTGTCTCCGAGGAAGACCAGCGCGGGGACTTTCCCCGAGACGCTCCAGAGCTTCAGGATGCGCTCGAAGCTTTCGCAACTCAGCAGCGATACCTCGTCAACCACCACCAAGTCGAAGTCCGTCATCCTGTGAAGACTCTCTGTGATTGGATCGTGCAGCTTGAATGCGGCGTGGCACGTGTCCACCGTTAGGCCCCCCAGGCCTTGCAGCGCGGCTCTCATGCGGCTGGACAGCTGCGCCGTCGGGAGGGCGAAGAGCACGCGCGCGCCTTGCTCCTGGGCGCGCCGAATGCAGGACTTTACCACGGTGGTCTTCCCCGTCCCAGGCTTCCCAAGGCAGATGACGGGCGTGTTCTTCTTGTACGCTTCCTCGCGCGCCTCGTCCGCCTCCTCCCAGTCCTCCGACAGCTCCGCCCGCACGGCACGGTCCACGCGCTCGTTGATCGCCTCCTCCAGCTGCAGCTGCTTCGGGTTGAAGTCGACCTCCTCCTGGCCCTCGCCGCGCGCTGGCCTGCGGTTGGCGATGACCGCGGCCTCGGCGTCGGCCGCGGCCTTCTCGTCGGCCTTGTCGATGATGCCCGTCAGGTACATGTTGATGAGCTTCCGCTGCCCCACGATCATGTGATGCACAGCCTCGGTGAACTTGCTGGACTTCGCGGAAGCGCTCATGTAGTCCACGAGCCGCCTGTCATCGGTGAACAAGTCATGGTGCTCTTCAGCGACGCGGCCCTGGTCGGAGCACAGTCGCAGCGCCGCCGCGAGATACTTGTATTTCTGCGGAACCAGGCGATTCACATCCTCGAACTCGAGCTCGTCGAGCGATCGGAACGGCACGTTCATTGCAGCCCACTGGCCGTAGTAGCGGTCGTTGAGCTCGTATACCGTGTCGACGCTGACCACCTTCTCGCCCTGCATGCGGTAGGCTCGCGCGAACTCCTTGAGGTTCGGAAAGTCGTCCTCGCCCTCGCTCTTTTCGTCGCTGTGCTTCTTCGCGAGGAACTCCTCGAAGGTCTTCGGCTGCTCCTCGTCTTCGGCGTCGGAGTCTTTGTCACTGTTCCCGCTACCTCCGCCATCAGCATCGGCCATGCCTTTGTACTCAGCGCGCAGGAAGCGCCAGTGAGCGTCGAGCGCCTGGGGCTCCTCGCCGTCGGGCACGGTCGCGCGGTACCGCCTGTGCAGGGCCAGCACCAGCTCCTGCTTGTGCTTGCGCTTCAGCCATCCAGCGATGGCGCCATCGTCAGTAGTCTTTCGAAGCCAATCCAGGAGCGTCATGCCCTCGTGGCGCCATGAGCAAGCAGCATATCTCTGGACCCATTCAGGCACCTCCGCCATGCCAGAGTAAGGCGCCGTCACGGTGCGGAAGCCGCCGCTGACAGTAGAGATGTCGTACTGTCTGAATTGCGCTCCACAC